GGTCGGCGACTACGCCCACCAGCTGTGGATGGTGAGTCCTCTCATCTCATTTCACTCACCGCTCCCCATCCATGACCTAACCCACCCCGTCTAGGATGAGAGCTTTCACGTCATCTACACCAATGAGCGATACAAGCGCGAAGAATGGCGCACCTTCACCGTCGGCGAGACCACCTTCAACGACGACGCCATCCGTCGCGCAGGCGAATACGTCATCCAGAGCATCAGATCACGGCAGCCAGTCTACAACCTCATCACCAACAACTGCCAAACCTACGTCCTGGAGCTCCTCGACGCCGTCAAAGTCGACGGCCACAAGGACTTTGGCACCACGCTCGCCGTGTACGAGAGACTCTTCAGCTCCGGCAAGGTTATTGACCTTTTCTCAGACGAGCAGAAGCAGGAACAGCAGAATCAGCTACCGATGCTCGAGGCCCCGCCACAAAGCTACGCTCTACCGCCGTCACCTGCGTCACCGCCTCCAGGCGGACCGCCAATGTCATATACCTTCCCGCCACCGCCCGGGCAGAACCCGTATCCGCCGCAGTATCAGTACGGACTGCCTCCGCTACCGCCGCCTCCGGGCCCCCCGCCTCCGGGTCATCCGGGCCCTCCACCACCGCCGCCACCGCCTCGTCCACCAGCGGGGCCGCCGCCGGGTCCTCACCCTGGAACTGTCTCTCATGCTCAACAGGTCATGAACGACAATACCACGCAGCTCGATACCCAAGAAGAGGCGAGCAGGTCGAGGGGTCTCAAGAAGGAAAAGGACAAGGACAAAGAGCCAAAGAAGAGCTTCTTCTCTCGGTTTACCCGGAAATGAGCAGACTTGGCGGGGCGTTGTGTTTGTTTTGCCGTTTTCCCTCTCATTTTCTTCAAATCATACCCTTTCACGGCCTTTACTTAATAAAGTCCGGAAGACCCGGAGACGATACACATAGAAGCATTAGGGACGGGCGGCGTTTTGAGGACAGATGTAGGCCCACAGAAAGCATTACACATTACTGTACATGATTTTCCCTACTTGCTGACCGGGAATGCGAAGGCCATCGTGGACCGTGAGCCAAGCCTCCCTCGCGCGGTCGTCCTTGGGCCGCCCGACTGCTTTCGACCACCACATACGACCATACCCACTGGAGAACTCGGGATCCCGTCCGCTCTCCCATAGATAAGCCAGTGAGGGCCGGATTAGTAGTTGGGTCGGTGACGACCAGCGAATACCTGGTGGTGTATGTTTTTTACGTTTTCAATATGTTTTTTGGTCTTCATAGAGTTGGTGGGTCCCTTTCGGACGTGTCTCAGACTACCTAGTATCAGAGAGACTGCCACTCCCTTCTGGTTAGAGTAAATCTATGAGACTACCATCGAGCGCTTGAGAGCGTGATCCCACTCGACGACATATCACGCATATTGTAAGCTGAGAGGACCTGTTTACCATATAGTATTACCTTGACCACGCGTCTAAACGTGGAAGAGAGAGTCTCACTTTCCGGGTCTCAAATTTCAGACTGATCGCACAAACAGGCTTCTACTTATGGCGGGTCTGGAATACTAAAGACGCATGGTGTTGCTCTCAATGGCTTCCATGAATAGCTCCATTCCTCTGAGACACCGGTTCACAAGTCTGAGCCCGGTGAACAATGTTCTGCGCTAGGGCCTGTATACTTGAGTTGAATACATGACGTCTCATCTCACGTCTTGAGAAGTGAAAATATTGTTGTCTTGCAGAAAATCTCGAATTCTAAAGCAGAGAAGTTCTAAGGTTTCCAATGACACTTGGAGGTGTCTCCCGCCCATGAATGAAAACTTGATACACAAGACTTCATGCAGCAGGGCATGCTTTCATCGCCAATTCTACTGCATCATTGCGAACTTTAGACCGAGCTCTTCTGAGCACGCGTTGTCCATGTCCTTAATGTTGAAGGTGTAACAGTGTGAGTGTGTGTCGAGGTGTTCCAACTTGACCAAAGTCGGAAATCGGAAGGTATAAGTAACCGTATTCGAGTGACTCATGATGTAACTTATGTTCTATACACTCTGCACAACTATTGATTGATATTCAATCGGATTCCGGCAACTCACTATACTTCATTTCGGTGTTGTTGAACTTCCTGTGCTCATATCATACCGAGGTAGCCCAGCTCTCTTCAACATTATGATGACGAAGCCAGTCCTGAAAATTACAACAATTGTCGACGGAGCTAAGCCTCTTTTCTCAAGGTCTTCAAGGAACGAAGGTTTCTTCCATGTCGTAAGATGGCTAAATTCAGAGCCGAGTAAGATGAGGAGGGAGTGCTTCAGAAGCCTTGTTTCATCGCCACACCAACTCCTAGTCTCCTCCATGGCCCCAACACTACAGGAGGCCTCGTAGAAGACGAGACACAGTGTGTAACCTGTAAATACGCACTAAGATACTTTCTAAAGGTTGTATTTTCGGTCTGTTTCCCAGGAAGAGCTGCACCTCAGAGAGGGGATATGCGGAGGTGTTGCCATGCCTGACCAAGCCGAGACACCGAAAGCCCGGCAGTTGCGAGATGACTTCTCTTCATCTCGGTAAGCTACATGATTTGAAAGACTAGGAACAGCAGCTTAAAAGATCGCGATGGCGTGATGGAGTCATTAGGATCAAGGCCGAGGGTCACATTATGCTCATGCACATGAAGGCTCGTGACCACGTCTCTGCTGCAAGCAAATCCAAAAGGGTAGATACAGTAGACTAATTTCTGCAGGCTCCACCAATTCCACATGTCATCCTTATCCTGTGAGCACTAAGGGGGGGCACCAGCAGGAATCTGGGGAGGCATGCCCTCACCGAAGCTCGATAATGAGCAAATAGTGGGAAGGCGACACACAGTCTGTGCGAAGTTACACACCACTATTGTCTTTTCACGGAAGTAATGGTATCTCTGGAATTATTAATCGTGATTGATCACCGATTTGGAGCTGAGAAAGGCAGGTTTGCGTTGAACCGACGGGGGTTCGTCGTTGAGAGCCTCACACAGAATTTCATGTTCAATATTTGTTCCGTTCCCAGGATGTAGCTAATTCCCACCTCGTTTCTCAATCTCAACTCCAACTCTTTCACCACTGTTAACAATTGTCTTCAGGATTGATACGGCAGGTTTTGATCTCGCACACATTCATCTTTTCAATGCCTAAGACGGACTCAGAGACACACACAGCAGAGCGTGTGCTGGGCCAAAGTCTATCCCTGCACCATCTCAGCTCCTTGATCCTAGACGTCTGGTTCAACATTGTCCAGGAGAAGACCTGGGCACTGAATAGAGCTCCAGGAAAGCCCGCTCACGCTTCGGCTGAGAGTCCATTGTCGTCTGTGGGTGATAATATCGAAGAAGACCGACTCGGAGAGATGGACTGGAATGAAAACGTCAAAGGCGAGTGTGTTCTCGAGAACAGCCCGACCAAAAGTCCAATGCTAGGTTCGCCTTCTAAGGATAGCCGATGGGATATGGAAAGATTTCTCTTGAATGAGGAGCGCAACCGCCTGTGTTTGTGGCTATCGGACTTTTCGACTCATGAACTTGATCAGCTTCTCAACGCCCCAGCCAATGACGCATTGCACATATTTGGCGTGGTTGCTCTGGAGTCCTTCATAAGAATTGGAGATGCTTTACTTAGCCAGTCCTGTAGGTTACTCTATACCAATCCGGGTCTTGAAAGTGATCGAATAAGGTAGCGTAAAAGACACGTACTAATTGGGAGCAGTCGTCTTAAATCACTTTGGCACTACCGATCCTCGTCTGAAATTGCGTAATGAGCTCAATTCAATGCTCCAAATTGGAAGACGCTGGATATTCAACCTGTCTGGGACACTTGGATCTACCTTGGATAGGAACAACATCGTTTGGGAGACTTTAGAAAGTGGAAGCATTACGAGTTCCTACTTGTCGTCAAGCCATAACAACGATGATAGCACACTTCACTCCATGCTGAAGTCTGAATTGGCTACGTTACACGAGTTAGGTTACACTCTTCGCCGTAGTCTCGCAAAAAGCGCTAGGCGCAGTGCTCGGTAGGATGGGGCAGGCCTTTCTCGGAACATCAAATTGACCTTGCTTAACGCCGATCTCTGCTTGGATAGGCCAATATTTGGAAAGAAATATCTGATTCTCTAATTCTGCTTTTGCTGATTGCTTGGGCGGTTGAAAAGCGTATATGCGAAAATGCTTTCGGTGATTTACGTTCGAAAAGTGAAAGACGACGAGGTCGATATTATTTAATCGGCCATGAAGTGATCACAACTCTTATTTAAAGTGAGGAGAAATGAGTGCAATGTACCTTTAAGGCTAAGGCTAAGGCTTTCTCCCGGACATGGAAATCTGTGTACCTCGTGCATATTTGATGCTCACCGAAGCTTTGTTCGGACACAAGCTACTGTCAACTATTCACAGTGAAGGTCGCCGGAGAGTGCATACATGCATTGGAGTCGGTTTGTTGCAGCTTGATAGTGACCAAATTCCTAATTGCATGGATACACCCGTCAGGTTACAGACTTGGCTACATTGATTCAACTAGACCACATGTCGAGGGGCCCAAGTTACAGGCAAATATTTGGATGTTATTGCCGCATCTTGAATGCTTCAAGTATCATTTGTCCCAAGTGCTTACATGTCATGTTGATATCATTCATTACCGGCATGATACTTACGTAAGGCCAACTCCAAAAAGCGAGCTTGGTGATGGTTAGATATATTATCACTGTCGGTTGGAATTACTGGGCTTTGAAAGTGACCTTTTCAAGTCGTGAGGTGGCGATCATACTTCAAACTACTAAGTATTATCATGGCACCCCAAGACTTACATGATGTCGAAATCGATGGAGAGTAATGCGTTGAGAGAATCAAGCTGATGGCACTTGGGTTGAACAAATTAATTACGCTGTGAACCTCACCCGACGTGAACAATCCAATTTGATCGATTCTCTTCGCGTGTAATAATCCCTGAATACCTACACCAAGCCTCCTTTTGCATAAAGCTCGCTAACGGTTGAAACCCGGGATGGCGGATTGAAGTAACTTGATAGCAGTTTCCTTGTCTCCTTGCAATGTCTTCAACGCAGATTGAACCCCCTTCATTCCTGTCACTGTCTCAAAAGATGCTGGGCCAGCCGAGATAAAACCATTGTCGCTCACCACGTTGAACTTCGCATACACCTTGCTGACTTGCGGTATGCCCCCGCCAGGCTCTCCAATATCAGCAGTCATCATTCCTTCGTCTTTGACATGGTTGTGGTTCATGACCCGTACAGTCATGTCGCCTGAGTTGGAGATCTCCTCCAGGAAGTCCTGCATGAGCATCTCAAGATCTCGAGTTTTAACCTTGCAGATTATTCCATCGCCAATTGCCTCACCATGGTTCTTGAGGAGGTTGAAGATGCGGCTTGGAAAGTTGACTTTTGCATCATTGCCGATGAGATTTTCGACTCGCTCCAAAATTGGTATGGTGATGTAAGTTTTCCCCTTATCCTTGCCTCTCACATGGTTATTCGCTACCAAGGATGTGATCAATGTGGTTTGAGCCAGAACGAGATCGACTTGCAGCCTGTCGAATCTCTGCAGCCGAGCCTCACCGCGGATGAGTTCGTTCAGAAAGGTTTTGAATCTGCCTTCGGAAGGGGAGCCGAATGCTTCGGCAGCTACTTTGAGGTTATAGGCCGCTTCTCTGACCATTTTTACAGCAGCGCAGACCCCTGCGACATTGTATGCCTCGTTGACTTTTTCGATGTCTTCAAGAATATGTTGCGTGATTGCAATGTGTGTGCAGACGCTGTCAAGGGTTTTGAAGCCTTTCTTGCTTCGTTCCAGTGCATTTGCAATTTGTTGGATGGTCTGGAGTGCTGCACCGAGTATTTGGCCGCAAGCAGCGACGAGACCGACGATTTCCTGTTCCCTGGTAAACATATGAAAGTAATTTACGAATGTGAAGAAGGCCACGTACAGCCATCTTTGTTTTACGCCGATTCAAGGAGTTCCACAGATAACCTCGACTTGTAAGACGTGTAGATATGAGGGAGGGCTCGAGAATTGTGCCGATGAGGAAAGTGAAGCCCACGTCGGCATTTGAGAATCTAGGGGCCTTTGAGAATTTGAAGAGAATTCAAGTTCGACTGGGGCAGTGCTGCCGCCTTCTATGAGAACAAGAAGTGATTCCTGTTGTCACCTGGCCCCCTACCTAGCATACACACCTGGCAAACACACCTATTAGGCCCAGATGCACGCAATTGGTTGAGATAAGTATCGTCAATGATTGAAGCACATCCACGTATGACAACTCACACGTTCGATTCGTTGAGTTTGTTGAATGCATAATCTATTGCAGCAGGCTGGGAGGAAATGTCAGCTGTGGCGTTGATGTGTCTATTCACCACACCTCCAGTCAACCTGACATGCACCCCGCCCGCCTCATTCTTGTTGAAAACGAGGCCTAGAGCTGACTTGCTGAGAGAACTACTTCACCACTTCCCGGATTGGCGCAACCCTTTCGCGAAATCCTCGAGCACTGTATACATGGGCTTTTTGTAAGGCGGCGGGGGCGCACTGGCTGTGAGGAAATACACGCCGATTGGGCGTCTCTACACCGATGGCTGACTTGGCACAAGGCGAGAGCCTGATTGCTACTGAGCTGAGCTCGCGGAACGACATCGTCCGGACCAGAATGCTTTCAAGATGATGAAGACATGTGTTTTCCATCATCGATTTCTTGATGGAGCACTTGGTAATCACCACTCTCGTAAATAGTAAAGCGGCTCAAAGGCGGCGGCATGAAAATAGAAGCTCTCTCATATTGAGATTTGAAAGATGGCGATAAATAGACGACCCCAACTTCAATATCTCAACCGTCATGGTCGAGACTAGTTCTCCTTTTCGATATTTTCACACCCCTGAGTATTGTATTGTCTTTCGTATTTTACTTCCCATCACTGGGCCTTCTAGTCCGACGCGTACATGCAGTCAGATCAAACTTCGTCCAATGCCCACGGCATCCCCTCAGACCATCACCTACTCCGCAGATACGCTGCCTGTGTGGAGCGAACTGGACTTGGTTCTGCTTTCCGAAGACGTGCACAGAAAGACAACGCTATGTCCCAGAGCTCTGACTCCCTCAATACGGAAGCTTCGAGCAACGGCATTCATGGCAATGGCCTCCTCAATGCCGGTAGGATTGGTGGGAACTCCCTGACTGGACTTTCGGGTGCTCGCTCTGAGCAACAGAATCAGTTCCATTACCACCACAATCATTTCGGAAGCGGGAATTTCTACGCCGCAACATCTCTAGATGCTAGCAACTCAAGCAAGCATGTCATGGGTGCTTCCTACGAGCACTCGAACGAAAAAACCCCTAGAACCTCTCTTGAACCCATCCACCCGGTGACGGCCGCGGCCCGGGCTTCGGCAGGTAGGGAAACCGATTCGGACAGAGAGTCTCAGAACGATGGCCCGCAAGTGCCTCAGATCAGACTTCCGGAGACAGGACCGCATAGCTCTGATCAGTCATCATCTTCTTCAGACTCGGAAGAGGACTTTATTGTAGAGGCTCGGTCTACCGAGCAATACATTCGTATGATTGAGACTCGCGGCTTTAAAGCTACACAAAGCTTTGGAGAGATACTCGGTCTGCTCCCTTCCCACGTACGGCACCAGCAAGATGTATTCGAGCTAGTGAAGTCCGTCAAGGAGCAGCAGTGCTTTTTCGAGAACCATCAGACTAGCCTTCCTGACGTCATTCGACGTGTCGCTTCTCAATCGCCACAGAAGATGTCCCATCTTCGGACATGGGATAACGTGCTGGAAAGGCTCGATGAACTTCAGCGTGTTCTGGATGCCCCGAAATTATTCATAGGGGAGAGATTCAAGAGAAAGCTTCGTGAGGGTGCCGGGGTAAGTGTCTCCATATCCGAGTCACCGAGGCAATAACATACTAATACTGACATGCAATAAGGCCGAAATGTCTGTAGGCGTCGACTGCACCAGAAAGCTTAAAAGATGGAGAAAGCGAATTGTAATTGCCAATAGAAAGTACATGGGGACGGCATCTATCCTTATAGACAGCCATCCTCAAGACTTTCGCAACAACCTCACGGATCTTTCTCGAATCCTCGCCGACATATGCACTGAATCACATGTCTCGGCGCACCTCAAAAGATGTCTGGCCGAGGCATGTTCACGACAATGTCACGAACGTCACATAGCCTACCTCAGACTGGCACCGGAAGAACCTCCCACACCTTCAAACTCAGCTGTTACTGAGGGAGACAAAGCCGAATCGGGTAGTCCATTATCATGCGAAGCTACCTGGCATCTCGCTTTCAAGTCGACCATTAGCAGTGAACCGAAGTTAACCTGGCTTAAGGTCGTATCAACTATGCTAGTCAAATCTTCAACATTTACAAGCTCAACAGTTCGACCACTCGTTAACACTGGTTCTTCGGATATTTCAAGCTTCTCCATCAAAGCCGAGGCACGTGTAGAGACGGCCACGTCGATTACTCAAACTTCCAGAAAACGGCGGGCATCTTCATCTCCTCCGGAGCCTCCGTTAAAACTTCAGAAAACAACCATTGGCCAAGCTCAAATCCAGGGGAGTTTCAATCACGAAAGACGCAACGGCATGGAGATCTGCCCGGAGTATCTCACGGGTCAGGAGCATGACAATGCCCAACATGCCATCATCAGGATATCAGACAACTCCGGATGCGACCTTCGGATTTTCTACCTGCCTCGATCTTTTCATACAGAAGAGGCCCAGAAAACCACCCTGGGGGCAGCGATTGGGCACAAGCTTAAGCGAAAGCCGCAGAAAGGATCCGGGTCTCTCCACTGGATTGTCACAACGGCACGTCTTGTTGCAGAGGCTGTAGTTCGATTTGACCTGAGAGACAAGGATGAGTCCTTGGAAAATTGTATCATTTTTCACGAGGCTAGCGCCAGTACGTTACACTCCAAATCAGCGCCGTCAATGGAAGTGAAAATTGAGAGAGCCAACTCGTCCGTGTCAAGCGAACCAGACCAACTCATCGATAACGGGACCCAAGCTCATAGGGGATCTCGTAAACATGTGCTTCTGAATTTAGGAATTGTTCTATTGCAGCTTGGTACTCATAGAGATTTGATTGATGATCTCGATGCCCCCCCTCCCGGCCCCGAAGACAAGCAATTCTACATCATAAGAAATGCTGGGAAGGCCGCGAAAGGGGTTAATGAAACATACGCAAATGCTGTCCGTAACTGTGCCCGGCTGTTCGGGGATAAAGGCACGACGGCAGAAGACAACTTTTTGGACAGCTTTCTGAGAACGGTTTTACAGCCTCTAAGGGACTGCGAGAAGGCTCTCTGTACTCACGGACACCTTTTGTAGCATTTTAACCCCGTGCCGCTACGTAAGTATGCTAATCCTGGATCAAACAGCGGCCGAGAGCCTTGATTGCATTGATCATGACGGCCCTGGTCTATTTTTCTCTTGTTGTTATATCTAAAACATGTTTGTGTTCATGCAATGATGTTCTTTTATTCTTGCTTCGATTTGAATTGCGATGGTATTACAGCAATCTGCCTAGGTAAAAAAAAAGAAAAAAAGAAAACTACAATCCAGGCCATGAAGTTGACTTAATGCTAAGGGCGATCAAATTATCAATTTTTTCCTCTACTTCGATTTGGATTCTCAATTACAACTTACTCTCATATTGAGCGACCTTAGGCCTTACTCTCAACAGCTGACGAGCGCTATCATCCGATCCCTTATCTCGTCGCAGAGCGCAATGAACAAGTTGCCCATGCCCTCAAACGCGGTCTCAAGCGTCTGCAGATTCTTACTTCGTAGCACTTCGTACATTGTACGCCGTCGTCGAAAATCGTATTGTGCCTGGAGGCTCTACTCCCGGCTCCCCTGACAAGGCTTGCAACAATGGCAACCCTTTCTTATGTGAATGAAGCCATTACGTTATTGGGCAGCAACAAGGCTACCACTATTCATGCAGAGCTGACCACATACAGCTCGACTATAGGAGGCGTACAAGAAAAATAAATTTATCAACGTCTTGAACGAGGTAAGGATGCCTTACAGCTAAAATTAAATACCGCGGCTTTTCCAACTCATCAGCAACTCCCCTCACAGAATCAGCTAACACTCATTCAGAATCTACCTAATGAAAGGCATATAACCGCTTCTCACCAGAATCATGGACCCTAATACGATTGCGAAAATGGACATGGACGATTTGTTATCAATGCATGATATCATGCGGACGCAGTTCGCCGAAGCCCTTGCCAACGACAGGATCCCATTGGAGGTTGAGATCATGCTACGATCGACGACGGCGGAAATGTGCATCAAACTTGGCTCCCAGCTAGCCCGGCAACCACTTCTTGAAGATGCCATCCAGCACCGAGACACCATTCGTGTTGGGGGCTCCCAGCAGGCCCTTGAAGAGTCCGTTCTCCATGGCCGCCAAGCGAATGATGGGTTAATTGGGCACGGCGTCGAAGAGGGGAATCTAGACCTTCACCTCGAGATCCTGACTAACTTGGGCCATTCCCTGGTTCAAAGGTTCGAGCTGAAGGAGAACCCGCCCGACTTGGAGGATTCCATCGCCTGCAAGCGGGAGATTCTGGCCAAGGCATCCAGGAACTCCGAGCGGTATCTCACGGCGCTCAACAATCTTGCTTCATCATTGCGCCTGCGCTATATGTGCACGGAAGAAGACGAAAACGAAAGAGAAGCCAGTGACTTATTTCGAGAGCTGCTGTCATCGGCTGCGCCTGGAACACCGCTGCACAACGCCGCCATAGGCCAGATCGGCGCTACAGCTGTGATGAAGTTCAGGATAAAGAAGACGCCAGAAGTACTGGACGACGCAATCGCAAATTGCAAGATTGGCTTGGAGGCACATAGCCCGGTGGACGACGGCTGGAAGCCGATGTTTAGCATGCTCGTCGAGCTCTACACCGAGAAATTCAACTATACTGGCAATCCGACAGACTTGAAAGTACTCGTCGACGCTTCATGGCGCCACTACGAATCGATACCGGCTGGACATCAAAATCAAGGAGACGCATTCCTGAAACACATCAAGACATTGCGCGAATGCGCATTTCAGCTTCAGCCTGTACATATGTTGGAGCACATCAGTGAGAAATGCCATACCGCGCTCGAAAGCATGCCGGCGGACTCTGCGACCAGGACCCTGTCGCAGGCCGAGTATTCCCACATTCTGGGTCATAAATAGTGCTTGTCAGGTACCCTGTTGGACCTCATCGATGTCGTCGAGCATGGCCTGTCTATGTCGGCCGACTTCAATGCGCTCGTCAGAGCCAGCTCGAGCCTATTCCTCTTAGAGATAGATCCATACTGGTACACCGATCTAGCTAGCAAGCTGCATGCGTTGGCTGGGGCATCACCCGACAATCCTATGCGTCAAACTGTGGAGGAAGAGATGCTCGCCGTTTTCAAATCACACTACGACTTTGAGGCCAAACGCTACGCACTTATGGCTTTGGATGGCCTCTTCGAGTACAATGACACAAGATTCCAGATCCTGACAGCTGCTGCGGCGAATAAAATGAACCTATCGAACGATGAGATTGAGCGGAAGATCGTCGAGCTCAATACTGAGAGTGACGAGTCAGTGGAAGAGCAGGATGAGATACCGGAAGAACACGCCAATCCATTCAATCTGGTCCCTGGTCAGCGTTTGGTGAACATCGATCCCCAAGATGGGCACATGGTTTTCGATATCAAAGATTGGGTCAAGACTCTTATAGGTCAGGGTGACGATCTCCGTTCAGACAGCAGCCCTCCCCCCGTCTCTGTTCTAGTCAATAACGACGAGAGATTGGAACGAAAGATGTTTCGAAAAGCTCGCGCGGCAGGAAGGCAGACCAATCCCGGTCTGTGCTACTGGTGTCAGTGGCTCTGCAAACTCGTGGACCCAACAGACGTAGGTTTTGGCTTTGCAAGGGAGATATTCTAGACGGCTTTGCCGGCATCTTCGCCGTTCTGGATGAGCTGCACTTGCAAGAGTCTGTTGATAGCATCACGGTGTATGGAGTGCCTGAGGCCTTCTTCATCCACGCGCTTCTCTGGACGCCTGCCGCCAAGATCTCGCGCAGACAGGCAACAGTCCCTCCTCAGAGTGACGTCGACGTCGGAGACCAACCGAATCCGAGATTTCCCAGCTGGTCGGGGGCCGGCTGGGGCGGCCCCGTGGACTATCGACTGTTCGAGGGGGTTCAACATGCGCTTGACCGGCCCGAGTCTCTGGTACGCAAGTTCAAGCTGGATGGCTAAGACGTCTACCGTGACAAGTGGGCAAAGGGTGGCCGCGATCCCGTCCAACCTCAGTCGGAGCGGGAAAGAATTGAAGAAGAGGGAGATATTACAGCGGGCAGAGATGAAGTGATCGAACAACAGCGAGGATCCCAAGAGGGGGGGAAGAAGAGGGGCCCCCCTCAGGTCAACACCATCTTGGAAATGACGGCCCCCGCCGTTTCACTTACAGCTTTTTCGGTGTCACTCATCGAGGAATTTCTGAGCTTGACGGATCAAATACACACAAAGGGGTCCCAGAGCGTTCGCAGAATAATCGACAGCGAGGGCGATCACTGCGGGCTCTGGTGGTCCCAAGGCGGTGAGGGACGGGCTGAAGATGACACACATCCAGAGCACAAGGAGAAGCTGACTCTGGTCGGTATCTCTGCCCATGGGGTGTGCAGTCGTCCACGGCAAGGGCCAGGCCGCCCTGGTGGGATAATTGCACTCTGGGACAGCGATCGGTTTCCCAGTATTGGTCTGCGGAGTGGCTGGGTGAATGTCATGGTTGTTAACGAGGATGCGAGCCACCAGGACATGGTTTCCAGTCGCTATACCGTAGCCGTCATTCATAAAATGGCATGGGATAAGGCAAAGCCTGTGCAAAGGGTAATTCGGATTGCATAGGGGACGAATGTAGGCATTTAAAGACATAGAATCTGCCTCTCATAAAGCGGATAAAGAACACTAATAGAGTCGCATAACCGGAGGAGGCAGAAATCATGCAGTTGTCTTTTATGCTTTTGCAGCCGTTTTCAGCATCTAGATAACTACTACATAAATTCCTACGTGTGCACAAAGATTATGTCTTTGGCAGGCCTGCTCAGGCACTAGAGGCGGTGACTCAGGCACGTAGTGCCATGCTCAGGCTCACCTCAGGCTTAGAGCGGCGACTACTCAGGATGGCAGCCGAAAAAAGTGGCTGGAATCAGTGAGACAAATCGGGTTATCGGCGAGGACGAAGCAATCGTCAACCTCGCGATTACAATCTACAGCTGTGGAGGTGCGCAATGCTGAGACACTGCCGCTAGAGTAAAATGAGGTTCGTTAACCCGACCGCTGATTAGTACTAAGCTGATGCTTCATAGAATCGTGTTCAACCACTTCTGAAAGAACTTTACCTAGTAAAGCCTGTCCCTAGCCAGAGACTTCTATGCGAATATTAAGATTTTCCTATCTCGCGTCGTGAATCAGATGATAAGAGTTCAGTTGTAATCCAAATCGAGTGTGCCCGAGTCCAGTTAGGACGTCTGGCTCAACAATTATCCCAATCGGCCGACCTGGCTCGAACAGCCTGAGATCGCCGGCGGCGTCGGGGTGTCTGGAAGTGATGTGAAATACGCCATCCTTCAGAACACAGGTCGGGCCAGCTACGTCGCCGTCGACCGCACAAATGGCGCTATCGCCGCCTGGCTAAACAGTTGTATCCAGCTCGGCGACCATCAGAAGTGGTCTCCCTAAGGAGCCAACATACTATCTTGTCTGTTAGTTATAAAACACATTTCCTATCTGCGCTAGGTGTCTCATAGCTGTGCATCAAGAACCTTCTGAGCACGGTAAGTTGTTGTTGGGAATGACCACGTTGGAGAAGACAGCATTATTATATAGGCATTTATCTTGAATGACATCCTTCCTCTGACCTCGGCTCTAATATTCGGCCTGGAGACCCAGTCTACACTCTAGGGTTGCTTGATATCGTTCCTTCCAGCATGTGTTGCGGACCTAAACAAATAGAAACGACAAAACATGACTTAGAGATAGAAGAAAGACTCCTCTCTGATTACTGGCCCGAACAGCGATGGTACTGTCCTGTAAGTTGCGACCTAATGAGAGGCTGCAACATGTATCACAAAATGATTGTTGGAATGATTCATGTTACGCTGATTGAAGAAATTTCGATATGAGTACCTCCTAGATGGACGAGACGCTGTCTACAAGACTCACTCCGGTAGTCGTTATGTTTCGTCCGATGTCTTGTGATATCTCTGAGTCTTACTGCTCCTTTCAGTCTCAGCCTCAGTCCCACTCTCCACTCACGACTGGATTCACTTAGAAGTATCCTCACTCGTACTTTCACTCACATAGTCGCGCTTTTACTACTGCGATCAAGCAAGCATATCTTGCAAAGGATATACACAATTAAATTAGCAATGAATTCTAGATCCGGCTGCTAATTTCAAGCCACAAAGGCTATATGTGTGGATAAGTGCATGTGCGGATGCCAAAGGGATTGTATGCTGACTTCGAACGCAAAGGTCCGCAGAACGATGACAGTCCACGTAGAGACATACCCACAGGCCCCTGCATGACGGAAATGCTGAAACATAACACCTCAATGGAAGCAGCATGGCGCTTGAGATTCTCCGTTAGTTAGTTGGCTAAGCCGAAAGACGTTGCTCGCTTGCAAATAAGTAGTTTGCCACAGAATATTTTAAATAATTCTTGATGCACAAAGTTCACGGGGACACAGAATGACTTGCAGAACCTTTCTGATCTAGACCTCTACAAAGCTCCATTGTTGTCACAACTTTGGGCGTAAACTCCCGTCAGAACCTCTCACTCCTAGTGTCTCCCTCGCTTGTGCGTTCAACCTCCTCCACATATCCTTTCGACGCTCGTGACCTTGCATAAACCGTTCAAACCAGAACTTGTTGAAAGGCGGCAATTCTCGTCCTTTGCCGTCTGCGGTGGGTGGACCAGCGATTCTTCGCAACTCCTCAAAGTACTCCTCAAAGTTTGGGAATACGAGCGCAAACTTTGGGCCATCACCGCGCTGGGCGATACGGGCTACTTCCCAGGCCAGCTGAGCTTGCGTTGATGGAAGGCGAGAGGATGGGACGCGGCCTGCGAGCAGTCGCGCGGCGAGAACGGCTTGGTATTCGAAGATTTTGAACGTGAGGCCTGCGTTGACGGCACCGACGAAGAGAATTGTGGGATCTGGGGTGTAGATTGTGTGGAGATAGAGATTCGGGATGCGGTTGTTGCGGGGGGTAGGAACTGGTGTGTGTTTGGTTGTGGTCGAAGTGCCGGCCGACTGTGGCGTGAAGAAAGGTAGTGTCCAGCTGTAACCCGTGCCGAATATGATGTCGTCTACACCAGAAACAGACGATCCGTCAACGAAGTGAACAGTTCGAGTGGTCGGTTCGATGTGGGATATGGAGGCAACCCGCTTGATCAGGGGGTGGTTGAAAGCCTCATCACCAAAGTACCCGTTGAACGTGTGTCCTTTGACCACAGCATATACAGGTGCTTGAGCCACAGAGGTCAAATCAAACGCGATGTCTCCTGCTGAGACAGAGGCGCCGACTACCACGGCTTTCTTGCCCTTGAATGCGTCCCGACCTCGGAAATGCTTGCTGTGAATCACACTTCCCGGACGATCCTTGGCGAACTCGGGCAGACCGTCAATGGATGGGATATAGGGCACATTGTAATGCCCAGATGCAACAATCACGGCATCGAATCTCTCCTCCCACCAGTCATCAGTGTTCTCACCATCTTTGCGCAGCGTCACCTTCCACTCCTCACCGGAACCGCTTGCTGCAGGCACCTTTTCAGCTCGTTCCACGGTAGTATTGTAGCTGATGAAGTCACCATAGCCCCTTCGGTCGACCAGAGAACGGACATAGTCCTGGACTAGAGACCAGTGTCGGAAAGGCGTATCTTCTCCGTGGAGTGATCTCGAGTGTTCGGATTGCTGAGTTGGAAACGGTTCTTGAGTATACTGCATAGGGACGAAGTCTACATTGGTTTCAAGGTATGGGTAGACTGTGGATTCAGAATACCGCGGCGAGGGCGACTTAGGCAGTTGAGCAGGGAGGTTGGAGGGAATTGTTGCTAGCTGGGGGTCTGCCGTTCGGGAGGAGAGAAGCTTGAGCTCATCTGATTGAATGAGCGGCGGCGGTTTCCCTTCACCTAGCCTATAGATATTGTTAGTACGGGTGACTACTCGGTCTGTGATGGACTGTGTAGGAGGGGCTCCATATTCTCCATCCAGGCCTCACGTCAAGATGAATTTCGACTCACCAGCATCCGCCAGGAGCCTCACGACGCTCAAAAACCCGGATGATGTCAAATGCCTGCTCTTTGGCAAAAGCATCGATCGTGATGGCACCGGCTGGACCGAGGCCGATGACTGCAATGCGCTTGGCGGGCTTCCCTTCTTTCGCCATCTTAGAAAACTTGCAGCGGTGGTTCTGGGTGGCCGTATGGTGGGAGTTTTGTCCACGAAAACACTCAATGATTGTTTTCCTGGCGTCTTATGAGTGAAGAGGTGTGGTGAAGCGGTTATCGGAGAGAATTGCCATGAACTGTGGCCCCACATAGAGCTTCTCACCGGGATTCAATCCTGCAAACTTGGACTAGTAGATCGATGGCACACTCCGTAGAATCCGTACTCCGTCGGTCACCGCCACCTATCTGTACGTATTGTTTTCTCTTATTGTTGCTGTATACGTAGAAGTGGGGAGTGTCCGATACCTAGTCGACACAAACGGCTTTTACCCTTGCAGATAGGACCCGATGTTGGAGAACCAAACAACTAAGCAAACAAGCAAGCACGAAAGGCCAAGGACAAGAAAGTGGTTTCAGCTAAACGAACTTTTGATTTTCAATGGAATTTTTCGAGGGCTTATCTCACGTTCAAATTGTAGACTCATGCTATCTATCTTCCACCATGTAGAAGTTCAAATCCCGATAACAGCCAGTACTGAATAAGTAGCTCGGGGTTTGTCTTGGCGCGATGGTGAAAGATTGCGTGCTCGGTAGGATGGCAGTGATAAACATTAGACTGCAGACCAAAAGTGGAGAAGCTTCAACAACATCCAGCCATCGGTCGGGATGTCTAACTGAATCAAAGTGAGTTTGCCGGCATGGCACATCCTTAGAGTATGGTATAGGGGCGATTGCGTGATGTTCCCAAGACTGTGGCACCGGAACGGGTCTTTAAAATGCAAGGATGTCTTGGAGTAACACTCGTA